ATAGAATGGACACTCTCAGAACTCATTAGACACCCACAAGTCACGAAAAAGCTCCAGAAAGAGTTAGAATCCGTGGTGGGCTCGGCTCATATGGTCGACGAACACCATCTCAACAGCCTCCATTACTTAGACACTGTAATCAAGGAAGCCCAAAGGCTCCACCCAGTTGCACCACTGTTGATTCCCCATGAGTCCACACAAGGTTGCACGATCGAAGGTTTTCACATACCAAAACAATCGAGAATTTTGGTCAACGTGTGGGCAATCGGCAGGGATCCAGATGTTTGGCCCGACCCAGAAAAATATTCCCCCGAGAGATTTATTGGTAGTGAGATAGACTTGAGGGGCCATGATTTTCAGCTGTTGCCGTTTGGGTCGGGCTGGAGGAGTTGTCCCGGGCTGCAACTCGGTGATGCAGACCCTAGTAAGATATTGTCCGCTTTGGGCTACTTCCGCCACCCGCACGGCTTTGTTCTTGGCTGGGCTTCAATACACACCCACCAAAACGCGTTTTATTAGTGAAGGTATCCACATCCTCATATAAGGCCTGCTTCGTTTCCTTTCAAACCCGATGTGGGATGCGCTGCATCATCCACCCCCCCTCCCCCCCTTGTGGGCCCAGCGGTCACCGCTGGCACATGGGATGGCTCTAATACCAACTGATGCAGACCCTAGTAAGATATTGTCCGCTTTGGACTACGTCCGCCACCCGCACGGCTTTGTTCTTGGCTGGGCTTCAATACACACCCACCAAAACGCGTCTTACTAGTGAAGGTATTCACATCCTCATATAAGGCCTGCTTCGTTTCCTTTCAAACCCGATGTGGGATGCGCTGCATCACTCGGGCTCACCGTGGTGAAGTTGATAGTGGCACAACTGATGCATTGTTTTGATTGGAAGCTTCCAATGGTGTGTCGACTTATGACTTGGACATGTCCGAGCACTTTGGTTTGGTGACCGCTCGAGAGAATCATCTAATGGCAATTCCAACTTATTGCCTACGTGAGTAATTCAAATTTAATAACAAAAATTAAAAATAAAAAAAGTTCATTGAAATTGTAATAATTAAACTTGTCATTGATAACATGAGGAAATAAGGGTGTTCTTGGATATAAATCAAGTTTGAGTTTGATTTGTTTTTATGGTTAACCACAAGTAATTTTGAAAAGTTGGTTGAATAAGTTTGAATAAGATTGTGAGTTTTTATTAAAATGATATTGAAAATTAAATAATTATAATTGATTTGATGTAAAAGTATGAAAAAAGTGATTAAAAATAATGTGTAATTAAAATTATGTGAGTGCATAAATAATGAATGAAAGTTGATGTGATGTGTGAAGATAATTTATTGATATTATTTAACTATATTGATAACATATAGAGTTGAGGTAGGTTAATTAAATTTGAATTAAATTTACATTGTGATGCATTTGGCCGACCAAAATTTATATTCAAGCATCGCCTACGCACTTCAAGTTGGGATGCTTGGATATAATTTTGTTTGGTTTTTTTTTTTTGGTTTGTATGGTTAATTGTAAAAAATTAGTATAGTTAATTGTTCGTGGGATTTTGAGTTTATCTTAAAATAAAATAATTAAGTTGATTTAATGTAAAAGAATGAGAGAAATGATGTAGAGTGATGGTTAGTTAAATTTATAAGAGTATATTAATAGTAATTTATTTATAATGATGCAATGTGCATGAATGATTGACTGATACTATTTAATTATACTGAAAATTCTAGAGTTGAGTTAAATTGGGTTAGACTTGAAATTAAAAAAAATAATTAATTAAAATGATTAGATTTAAAAAAAAAATTACATGCAAGCATCTCCCAACTTTTAATATATCATAATATATCAAGCCACCCATTCCATTAACAAAGCACATTATATACCAACTAGAGGCAAATGGTAGGCAGTACCCAAACCCCACTCCCAAAAATATGGCCTGGATTTGGACCCTACTAATGCTTTTCTTGGCCTATCACCTCCTCCGCAAGCTCCTCGGCGGCGTCGGCCCGAATAACTATCCTCCAGGCCCGATACCACTCCCCATATTAGGCCACTTCCACCTGCTCGGAAAAAATCCTCACCAGGATCTATGCCATCTGGCCCGCAAATACGGCCCCGTCCTGGGCCTGCGCTTCGGGTTCACCCCAACTGTCGTCGTCTCGTCCCCGGCCTGGGCCGAGCGCGTCCTCAAGACCCACGATCTCGTTTTCGCCAGCCGGCCCACCAGCAACGCCTGCAAGCACATTAGCTACGGTCAGAGGAACCTGACTTTCGCGCCATACGGCCCGTACTGGCGCGACATACGAAAGCTCTGCACCCTGGAGCTGCTGAGCAACCTCAGGATCAGCCGGTCCCAGGGCATGAGGCGGGCCGAGCTCGGGCTTCTCGTGGCCTCCCTCAAACGGGCCGCCGAGGGTCGGGAAGTTGTGGATCTGAGCGCCAGGGTCTCGGGCCTGAGCGCGGATATGAACTGCCTCTTGGTTTTAGGGAGAAAATATGAAGACAGGGAGCTGGACGAGAAGGGGTTCAAAGCTTTGTTTATGGAGACAATGGAACTTGCGGCCCGATTTAATCTTGCCGATTATTTTCCCTACGTTGATGCCCTCGATCTTCAGGGGATGGGCCGAAGAATGAAGGAATTGAGTAAGATTTATGATGAGTTCTTGGAGGAAATCATTAAGCAGCACTTAGAGAAGAAGAAATGTGAAGGAGAGAATAAGAGAGAGGATATTGTGGATACAATGCTGAGTATAATGGAGTCCGGTGAAGCTGGGTTTGAATTTGATCAGCGACATATCAAGGCCGTGCTTCTGGTAAATTTACACTCTGCTATCACAACGTGTGTGTGTGTGTGTTTTGTTCATAATTCTGGGAGATTTTACAGTCTCAGTTACGAACATTCCGTCGGGTTTGTAACCGTTAGATCAACTATCCACGACGGTTACATAATGATCTAACAGTTACAAATCCGGACAGAATGGTACTGTAATTAGCATTTCTCTATAATTATTATTGTTGTTGTTTTGTGTGTGTGTGTGTGTGTTTTGTTCATAATTATTATTGTTGTTGTTTTTTGTGTGTCTGTGTGTGTTTTGTTCATAATTATTATTCTTGTTGTTTTTGTGTGTGTTGTTAATTATTAAGGCAAATTGGTACATTAAATAAGCAGATTGGATCGCTCAAGACAAAATATTGATAAACAAGTTTGAATAAATAATATAAAAATAATAAGTAGTAGTTAGGTTTAGTCAAACTACTAATATATAATTAGTAGTAGTTAGTGGTAGCCATAGGTTCATTTGGAGGAAAAATAATGTTACCTTCGAATTTAGTATTCCTCACCGGAATATTTTAATTTTTAAGTTACAATTTTGATGGAAGCCGCACTTTTTGTAAATTAACCTTTACAGCATCAACTAATCGTATATATATATAAAAAAAAAAAGTTTGGTTATTTTTTAAATATTAATTATTATTTTTAAAATCTAATTACTATTTTTAATAACTAAATTAACAATTTATGGTATATCAAATGATAACTTGTGGAAATTGCGATCCATTATTTAAGAAAGTAATTAAGTCATACTCTGAGATAACGTAATTACTCAAATCATGTAGATCAGTTAATATATAGTATAAAGTGTACGAATTTATATTTGGTATTAATGGTTATATCTATAGGAAATAAATGAATCAATATGTACTACGAACTTAGGTTAATTTATGAATGTTTTTTGGAAGGAAATTTGTTGAAAAATTAATCAATATCCGGTGTTTTTTTTTTTTTTTTTTTTTTTTTTTTTTTTTTTGTAAGGCCAATATTGATTTTTAGACGATTACCGTAACTCACAAAAAATAATATGAATAGATATCTTGATATAATGTGCGTGTATCGATGTTTTTTTATATAGAAAAAACTTTGGTCAATTTTTTTTTTTTTGTATAATTAGTAAGTTTTGATTTAATTCATTTTTTGTTACGACATTTCAAATAATTTTTGTATGAAATGCACTGTTCTATTTTTTTTGCACGATAATGAGTGTCGATTTTTTGGCATAAACAATCTTATTCAACTACTTAAGTATTTTGATTTGGATATTTTATATAAAAATAAACTCATAATAATTAAAGAAACAATATAAATTTTATATTTATACTTATTATTCAACATAAGTTTTTAAATATATAATAAAATTAATAATTATTTTATGGAATCAACATAATTTGTTGTGAATTGTGAATTATTTATTTTTATTATCTATCAATTGTGTCTTTTTTTATTTATTTTTTTTACACTTTTGTGCTTTTAGCTTTTCTTTTTTATTAAGTATATCTATTTTTACTGTTTTTAGCATATCTAGTTTATAATTTTTATTGTTTTTCTTTCAGATTTTTATTTTTCAAAAAAATAAAATAAAAATAGATGACAGACCCTTCCATCATTTTTGTACCAAATTTCTACTATTTTGATACTTCCTATTTTATTTTTATTTATTTTATCTTTTAAAAAAATTGAAAATGTCCCCCATGTAAGCTTTTTGCACAATCTTTCAGGCAAAACGCAAATTATAAATTCTTTAGCGCGTTTTTGAGCAAATTGTGTTATATGGTGCTATCTAAAACATTGAGTAATATGACATTTTTTTATTTGTGCAACTTACATGTGTTATAGTATAATACTTTTTAAACTTACAATATATAACTACATTAAACATAAATATATCAATTGAGAAATTATTTTATTTTTCTAATAAATTTAAATAAATATTATTATTTTTTATTATTATAAAGATAAATATAATTCATTTATTTCATATATACAATATGGATGTCAAATCGAAAATCATCAAAAGATGATTAATTTGATATATTATATATGTAAAACCGATAAGAAATACAAAAGTTATCAACTTTTTTAAAATACATTTATAATTCAATAGCTAATTGAAGGAAACAGATCAAAAGTCGGGGATATATTAGTCACTGAGTGCCTCATTATGTTAAATTACAAAGAAATAAAGGGTTATATTAGTACAAGTGATATTATAAAATACTAAGTTAGCTAAATAATATTTATGGAATGTCCAAACCTAAATTATTAATTATTAATATATCAATATTATTTGTTCAAACCTAATTATGAAACATGATTCTTTGCCAAGTAGGATTCTGAAGCATCAGAAACAGTCACGTAGGCTCAACGCATTCGGAAATAATATATAGGGAGGATGTACGATATATGATAATTATACAATGTTTTTTTGTGCATATTTTATCTTTTGTATTTATTTTCCAACATAACTTTTTCACAAGCTGTTAGTTTCATTCACCTTAACATTTCCATGCGAGTAAATAGTTATGTTATTTTTTTTTATTATTATTATTTTAAAAATTCATATTTTCACATTGCAGAATTTAAAATTATTATTATTATTATTATAATTATTATTATTATTATTATTATTATTATTATTATTATTATTATTATTATTATTATTATTATTATTATTATTATTACTTTTTGATTGAATAAAATTCATGTCATGAACATTATGATTTATTTTTGAGTCGATAATTTGCAAAGTAACTTGACAGACTTTCCACTAGTTCATCCTTTTAAACTCATATTTGAAGCATAACAGTTTTATTTATACTACTAACAAATGCAAAAAAAAATATGTATATATATATAAGGAATATGTAGAAAATTAATATTTTATGATTTTTTGTGATTCTTTTACTTCATATATATTTTATGAGAAATTTTTAGTTAATTCATTCTTTTTAAATTGCTTCTGATACATGATTATAGTTTACTCTTGTTACACAAAGTGTGTTTTGTATTACAACGGGAACCTATGAACTGACTGAAGTGT